ATTCTCCTCATTAATTCTCTGTCTACCATTTGCTTCTCTCACTAGAAGTTCCAAAGTAATTTACCTAACATTTTCTTTTCCTACAATACCCATCTTTGTTTTCTGGTTTTCTCTTTGTCTATTGAGCAATTGCAGATAAAAATACTGAAATAAAAAAGTTGTCTTTTTTTTTTTTTGGCAGGGGCAAAAATGGCAATTCTAGTGCTTTTCTTGGTTGGTTTTCTTGCAATGGCGTCCCACGTTAATGGGTACGGTGGGGGTTGGGTCAATGCACATGCAACCTTCTATGGTGGGAGCGATGCCTCTGGAACTATGGGTATGTATGAATGAATTCAATAATTAAAATTAAAGATTCAATTTTTTACCAATTTTTTTTATTTAATTTAATTTTTAACTCTGTAATTAATTAAATTAACTGCAGGCGGCGCTTGTGGGTATGGGAACTTGTACAGCCAGGGGTACGGTACAAACACAGCAGCGTTGAGTACAGCACTCTTCAACAACGGGCTGAGCTGCGGCGCCTGCTACCAGATCAGGTGCGCCAACGAGCGGCGGTGGTGCTTGCCGGGCTCCATTCTGGTCACCGCCACCAACTTCTGCCCGCCGAACAACGCCCTCCCGAACAACGCCGGCGGGTGGTGCAACCCTCCCCTCCACCACTTCGACCTCTCTCAGCCCGTCTTCCAACGCATTGCTCAGTACCGAGCCGGAATCGTTCCCGTTGCTTACAGAAGGTATACTCATCTTTATGCATGTGGTCCTCCAACTATTTCATAATTACAAATTGACCCCTCAAAAGTTTCGTAATTTCTTTTTTAACTTTTTCCAATGCATGTGGTCCTCCAACTATGTCATAATTATAAATTGACCCCTCAAAAGTTTCGTAATTTATTTTTTAACCTTTTCAAAGGCATGCGGTCCTCCAACTATGTCGTAATTATAAATTGACCCCAGAAATGTTTTATAATTTTTTTAAAATGCTGTATTTTTGTAGGGTGGCGTGCAGGAGAAGAGGGGGAATAAGGTTCACGATCAATGGGCACTCGTATTTCAACCTCGTACTCATAACCAACGTCGGCGGCGCCGGCGACGTGCACGCCGTCTCCGTCAAGGGTTCCCGGACAGGGTGGCAGCCGATGTCGAGAAACTGGGGGCAGAATTGGCAGAGCAACTCCAACCTCAACGGCCAGAGCCTCTCGTTTAAGGTCACCACCAGCGACGGACGCACGGTGGTGTCCTACAACGCCGCCCCTGCCAGCTGGAACTTCGGTCAGACCTTCGCCGGAGCTCAGTTCCGTTGAAATTAAACGCGGGATTAATTCCTATATCTAACAATATATTATTATTAATATTAATATTATTATTATATAGTTGTTTTACTAATAGGTGTTGTTGTAGTTGAAAGTGTTGGGGGTCAAAATTGAGGGGGTGGGGGCTAATTTTAAAATAGTCCTTCGGCTTTCAAAGGAGGGCACTCAATGTAATTCCTAGCATTTTTAAGGGTTTTTGTTTTTTTTGGGCTGAGGTGGATTTATTACCACCCGCTTCATCTTTTAAGGACTAGTAGTAATAGTAATTATGTTACTACAATTCTAGTGTCTTTTTTTTTTTCTATCTTGGAGGGGTAGAATGGGGAGAGGTTTGTCACCTTGTTTTGTTTTTTGCTTGGGTTTGTATGTAAGATGATGAGCTAAATGTAATTAAATCCAATTTTAGTAGTACTTACTTAAAATGTTTTATTTCCACTTAATTAGTACATTTTCCATCGTTTTATGCTATTTTACATTACTTGTTACTTAAAAAAAAAAATCAAATTGTGTACAAATTGGGAAAATAGAGAGGGAGCAGCAGGGTTCGAATCGTATATCATTATTATTCATATACACATCAACGTTAGTGTGTGTAAAAAATTACTCGTATAGTCTTCATTGGGTGTAGCATAGAAATAACGAAACCTACGGGATAATCTCATTGCCATTTTTGTGATACATGTTGTTTCAAATTTTGCCCTTCTTTCCTGCATAGTGTCTTATTATTTAGTAATTAGGTATAGTTGTAATATATGGTTAGAGACATAGAAAAGAATATTGGCAGAAGTGGTGTACAACACTTGATAGCTGGTTGTATGGTTCCAAGAAATGAAAGTGTCCTTTGTATTTCTATGACAAGTCCTCACATGTTTAGTTCAGAAAAAAAGCTTGACATTTCCTTTCATCCTGTCATCATATTTTTTGTCTTCTTTTTTTATTTATTTCAATTTGCAAGTTATTCAATAAAAACATATTTTCTCAAAAAAAAAAAAAAAAGACTAATAATAAAAAGTTTGAAGAGAGAGGCGTAGTCTTCCATACGAGTGATATACGTCAAAGCCCTAAAGCTGTTTTCTTGATTTCGTAATTGCGTTTGACTCTGCTCTGTGTTCCCAGTCAACTCTCGAGCCCCGTGACCCTCAAAACCTTCTCTAACAAATTATTAATAATAATAAGGGTAAATTACAAACACCCCACTGAGGTATGACCAAATTACAAAAACACCCCTCTTGTTTGGATAATTACAACCACCCCCCTCAACTCATCAAATTTAGTGGAATCTTCGAGATTATATGGAATATTATCACTTTTGTACCTGTTTTATCCCATTCAAACTCTACATTATGAAGCAAGATGACCATAATATGTGATTTTTAGCTTGTATATATCAGTTTGTGGTGCATCGAAAACTGTATTTTTTACACAAAGAGTACAAACTAGAGCACATTTCACGGAATCTAGATGACTATGTTGAATTTGGCACCATAAAGGTAAGAAAAGAGGGTAGATGTAATTATCCAAACAAGAGGGGGGTTTTTGTAATTTAACCATACCTCAGGGGGGTGTTTGTAATTTACCCTAATAATAATAATAATAATAATACAGCATTGTTGAACCCAAGTAACAATTTGGAAGTAACAATTTGGAAGCCTAGTTTGTAATTGGGCCCAATATTAGTTGTAGTTTTGAAGCCCAAAAAGGATACACACCTCGGGCCGGAAAAATAATTTAAAATACACTATAAGGCAACGTTTAGGTAAATTACTACCAACCACACTGAGATATGGTTAAATTACAAAAAAATCCATTACGTTTGTGTAATTATAATTATTCTCTCAACTATAAATATTCTTACATGTCCACCCTTGCGGTGTCAAATTTAGTGGAATATTTTAGATTATATGGATATTCTCAATTTTGTACCCGTTTTATCTCATCCGAGCTCCACATTTTGAAGCAAGATAATCATAAGATGTGTCTTTTGACTTATATATATCAGATTGTGGGCATCAAAACCTGCATTATTGTACAAAACGAGTACAAACTAGAAAACATTTCACGGAATTTAAAAAATTATATTGAATTTGACACTAAAAGAATGAGCGCATAAAAAGATTTATAGTTAATGAGGTAATTGTAATTATCCAAAATGATAATTTTTTTCGTAATTTGACCATACTTCAAGAAATAGTTGTAATTTACCCTAATGTTTAATGTACCCAGGTCAGATGAAGAAGTTGTAAAGAATAATATGCGATCAAATTAACAAACATGAAATGACTATTCTGCAATGTCACGTAATAATCTCATCTCCATAGTAACTAGTCACTCCAAATCCCACATAAGGGCATTCTAGTCAAATCCATCTTCCTAACGGTTTTCAACAAACTTATTCCATTTTCCCCTTCCCCTCACAAAAGTTTCCATCAATCTGCTGAAATGATTCTCCGACTGCAAATTCCAACCCCAAATACCCAAAATACCCTCAAAACCCTACTCTCCACCACCACCACTGCAGACTCCGGCCTCATATTCCGGCGGAAGCTACTCTACCTCCAATCCCTAAAAGTAAACCCCACAAAAGCTCTCAATAAAAATCCAAACCTCCGCTCCGCCCCTCTCTCCACCCTCCACTCCACCACCCAATGCCTCTCATCAATGGGCATCGAATTCTCCGCCCTCGGCCGGATCCTCGACATGTACCCGGAGCTACTCACATCCGACCCGTATTCGGATATATACCCAATTTTCGATTTCCTCCTCAACACCGTCGAAATCCCCTTCCCCGACATCCGGAAGTCGATAATCCGGTGCCCCCGCCTCCTCGTATCCGACCCGGAAACCCAATTAAAGCCCGCATTCGAGTTCCTGACCCGATTGGGCTTTTCCGGATCGAGTAGACTCACCTCTCAAACGACAGTGTTGCTGGTCTCGAGCGTTGAGTTTACCCTAATTCCAAAGATTGAGTTTTTATTGGGGTTGGGATTGGAGTATGACGAGGTGAAGAGTATGGTTCTGAGATCGCCGGGTTTGTTGACTTTCAGTTTGGAGAATAATTACAAACCCAAGACGGAGTATTTCTTGGAAGAAATGAATGGTGATTTGGAGGAAATTAAGAGGTTTCCGCAGTATTTTTCGTTTAGTTTGGAGAGGAAGATTAAGCCACGTCACATGCTTTTGACGGAGCATGGATTGTCGATGCATTTGTCGGAAATGTTGAAGGTTAGCGACGGAGAGTTCAATGCGCGGTTGATTGAGAAGCGTTTGAGAATGGTGGTGTAGAAGAAGATTTTAACTGTAGCTTACTGTAAGTTTCTCTTTCGTCGCATTCGTATGCAATTTGGGGTAATAATTTGATTGGTTATACGTCTAGTTTTTCTAGATTTTGTCGAAATGTACATGTTTTGTAGAAATGCAATCGATTTTTTTCTGCACACAATGTGTTTGCAATTATGCCTGAATGGTGATTGATCATTGTTCCCAGTCATGTTTCTATCATTATTGATACGTATTAGTGTTGGCCGATGATACAATTAGAATAGAATAGTGACCTGTAATTGTGAATTCACAAATTGGTATTTATCACATTAAGATTAATTGCTTATATATAAGTCGATGATTGTTGAGTTGGGACAAATATCCCTCGTCTTAGCTAGGGTTAATCGCCCAATGAAGCGTCGAAGGGTAATAACGTATTATTACAAATTAGATTTCACGGGTGCTAGCATATGTTCTTGGATGGATTGGATATTGACCTGGAATCGAATTTCATTTGCGTCGAATGTCGTCGACTATAGTTTTAGACTCTAAGAGCCACAAAGTTAAAAACGCACATAACAAGTGCAATCTTAAATGTGTTATTCACATTCTAAATTTTATGTTCGAGCTAATTCAACAAAAGTCAATAACAGCACTAAAATCGCCTTTGATAGTCTATAACAAGGATACTAAGCCCCGACTTTTACATAATCAGGGCTATTACTGAAATTCTCTCCTTAGATTAATTAATCAAATCAACATGCACATGTGTACATTTAAACATCGGGCAAATTACGACCACCTCCCTAAGGTAAGGTCAAATTACGAAGAAAAAAAAAACCCCTCTATTTTGGGTAATTACAATCATCCCCTCAACTATGTATTGTCTTACACGTCCATCTTACGGTGTCAAATTTACCTACTAACGGATGGGATATTTTGTAAGAAAATGCATAGTTCAGCGATAGTTCTAATTACTTTAAAGTAGGGATTTTTTTTCGTAATTTGACCTTACCTCAGAGGTGGCCGTAATTTGCCCATAAATATGATGTTCTAGTGTCTCTTGTGTGTGTGTGTGTGTGTGACTGTGTGAAATGAATTTTTTTATAGTAGAATTCAGAAGTTATAACAGATTTGATAGCTTCATGCATTTTTAGCTAAGTTTCTTGATTAAGTAACTAATACTTGATTATCCACTTCTTTGTTACTGATACTACATACTCAGATACTCTGATGATGACTTGTCTGAAATTAGCTAGAGCTAGCTTTGAAGGTCTTGCTTCATACACTGTCTGCAACTAAATATCTCTGCTGCAGTAAAGACAAGGAAAAAAGGGTATTATTATTATTATTATTTCAAGAAATTACTGAAATGCATTAAATTAACATACTAATAAAGTAATTAGCTACTAGTAAAATGGGGTGCTTAAAATATGTCCCTCCAATTGCAGCAAAAGACAAAAAAGACCTTCATTCAGTAAAATCTTGAACCTCTGTGATGCAATGCTTACATGAACATATCTGACATTTTCAAGATTATTAAATGATTTCTTCTTGGAAATGATCATCTGGTGATTTTCTGGTTAAAACTAATCACTCCTTCAAAAAAAGGATTGGTCAATGGTCAATGAGGAGAAATAACTATTGATTTTGATTGCAATTTGTTGTATACAATCAAATATGTGTGTCTATATGTGAATACACATACTACTACAGTGTACACTGCTCTGAACTTGTTAACATTTTTACAAAGATAACATGGGAAACTGTGGAAAACCAATCCATTTTTTTACCACTTTTGGAACATCAAAATCACAACAATTTCAACCATGTCAAAATTATAAAAAATATGAAACCTAAATAATTAAAAAATATATATATTTATTTGATAAATGTCGTTTCAGATTTAATAATAATGTTTTAACTTCAAACGTGTTTTTAACCATTTTTTAGCCTAGGTTTGGCAAAACTGAAAACACGAGATTTGTAGTTGTTTGAGTTAGCTTTGTAATCCAATTTGAATCTCCAAGATTGGATGAATAAAAATTAACCTTTTCTTACCTCACTGTTCAGAAGTTTAAATGTTATACTTTAATTTTATGGTTCACAAGAATAGTTAATTGATTGTCCTTGTCTGAGAAAGAGATACTAAAATCACACGTACACACACACACACACACACACGTCATCCACAACAGCAAAATCTTGTCCTCACTCATAACTAAAATCTACCTCATCTATATCTTTGGCCAATTGTATTATCAGCAACTCCAACATTAATTTGTCAACAAATATTTGTTTCATTTATTATTATTTTTATTTAGGCCCAATGGCCATGTAATTGTCATGTGTAGAATATTCTTTTTTCAAATATTAATATTATTATGTATTTTATGTTATAGGTGTAACAAAAATGACAATTTCCATTCTTATCTGATTGTTTATCCATAAAAATCTATTTTTTGAACAAGTCTTTATTATCAATTTTGATTTCCGATTTTTTTAATTTTTTTAAAACTATATTAAATTTTGAGAAGTCATATACTGAGTTTCAACTTTGATTGAGAATGTAGTAAAATTCCTGTTATGAATCGAATTAGATTCATAATAACAGTAATCCATTGCTCAGAAATTGTGTTCGATTACAAGATTAAAGATAGGAAAAATGAGAAAATTAGGCTAAAAGACGAGCTACACTAACCTAACTACGAACTAGCTTCTGAAATTGCTTCCCTTTCCCAATCCCGGAATCTGCTATTTATACTGAAATGACCAAGGCAATACGACGTCGTTCCGTTGGGCAGAGAATTGATAAAAGCGTCAATTAAAAACCACGCTTCTTTAAGTTGGAGAGCAACTCTTCTTCAAACGGCGTCGTTTCTTCTCTTTCCAAAAGGGGGCTATTCTTCTCTAATTCGGCATCGTTACATTCCTTCCCCCTTAATGACAGCCTTGTCCTCAAGGCTATAACATATTGAGCATCGAGGATCCGAGCATTAGATCCCTCCTTAGCTTCTTCGTCAAAGGGCCCCACTTTATTTTCTAAATTAATGGCATGGATCATGAGCAACGATAATTACAGTGAGATAACTCCAACTAGTAACCGGCGGTGGCTCCGGCGGAGGGCGGCGTCTTGGTATAAACGAGCTATTGCTATCAAGACTACCCATTTCATTTTCAAGATTAGACACCAACATGCCCCAAAACTTACAACCATCATCACTCAAGCAAACAACTAATTCTTTTTCACCGTGAGATGTAGAAAATTCAAGAACATTAAAAACAACTTTTGAAGTTTCATTCTGCAACAGCAAGCAAGTCACCATTTGGATGACATTCAGAATCAACTTCTCCTCATTTTCAGCTAGTAGCTCAATTGACAATTCCGCGAAATTATTAACTTGTTCGTCCAATTGTGTGAATGTCTCCAGGTACTTGGAGCACATGAACACTTTTGCTTTTTGATCCTCTTCGGACAATGGGACGATCTTCTTAAACTCGACAACATACTTGAGCATAACACTTCTTAGGCCCTCTTCCCAAAACAAGTCAAACATAAAAGTGATACACATAGAAGTGCACGAAATGGAAAATTTTGCATCATCTGATAATGAGAAGTACTTTGCAAACAATTCCATCAATGTTTTCATGCACTTCGCCCCACTCCAAGTCATCTCAAGTGATAAAGAAATTTCATGGACATCACGAAATGCCGCTTCACAGGAAGTGCTTTCGGCTAAAGCACTTGGAGAGCAAAATCTTTTAGACTCTTGTACCTTGAGCATTCGAGGAATTGCTGCAAGCTTTTTAAAGGAGGCAACGGTTTTCTCATCTACAATCCAGAATATACGAAACATGCCTTTTGCAAGAACAATGGTAAGCTTCAGAGTACAAACAGATCGTTCAAGGGCGCTCCATAAAACACCACATTCATGCAATTTATGGGAAATTCCACTTGAAGTAGCTGCGAGTTCCACGAACGAGATTATTTCAGCTTGAAAATTGTCACCACCTTTTGAGGTATGTTTAATTCGAACATTTGAGGCTGGTCTAGCATATGCCAAGAGCAACTTCTCAGCCGGTTTAGACAAGGGTTTTCCAGGAAGTAACTCAGCAGGAGACAAATTGAAGAAAATATCCTCCAATTCAGCCGACACAAAATTATCACCAAACTCCCAATAAATGACATCTCCTGTCCAAATCTCGCTTACCACAGCTCCAATCCTCATATTCGTTCCACTCTCCCTATTTCCGACTCCATTCTCAACAACAAAAAATAAATATTTATTACACGGCCAACACCCTTCTTTCCCAATGGAAAGTGGAGTGTCCCAAAACCTACTCCGACTAGGAAACCAGTCTCCGTCGTTCGCGAACCACTTGTAACAACATTTTTTCTTCACGAAATCCCTAATCCAATATGCTTGTTGGCTGATCTCTTTCATAACTTTTGTAAATTGAATAGAGGTTGATGTTGAGTAGTTGAATTCCTCTTCATAATGCAGAGGTGGAGGCTCCGGTGGCATTCGCCATGGCTTCGCGCACTTCAATCTATTTGCTGGAAAAAGATTCTTCAAACATATAAATTCATCTGACTCAATATTAGTTAGCGACCCATTCCAAATTTTGCCGCCAAGGTCACCCATGTCCAAACAAATCACTTGAAATTTGTCACCCGAACAAGCTTTGATTTCTTCTCCGGCAAAGGATTCCAATTTTGATTTTGTCGTTTCATCGAACATATTGCGTTCCAGTTTCGGTTTGGCCATTTTTTTGAACATATGGCGTCCTTCAATCAAAACAGCCTCCATCAGCAATTCCTCGAGTGGTTGCCCATCATTATCACCACGCAAGTTGCGCTTAAGATCCTGCTCAGTTGTATGCCCGTGTGTTCCACCTTCATCGAACTTCTCATGATTTGGAAGTCCAGGAGGCTCTTCTTTTGTATCCCCCCGAGCCGTTTTTGGTCCCTTAAACTTCTTGTTTCCAAGTTTTGGACGATGAACAGAGATGTGGCTTTCCCGGAAAAGTTTATAATCATCCCCGTCAAGGACAAAGTTCTTCTCTGACTCTCTTTTCTTCTGCCTCTCATCACCGTTTAGATCGTCATCATTCACATTTAGATTATCCTCATTTTCGCCAACAAAAGCTTCACATCTTGATTCTGCCATTTTATCAAACACTTGGTGTTCCACAATCTCAGAAGTCTCTTCCATGAATAAAGTTTTACCGATATTAACCGCTGCCAAGTGTTCTTCTTTTCCATTAGTGA